CCACACACAGAGGCTGCTTGGAGGGTTGCCGGAGTAGCCTCTGTCTGCAGGGAGCTCGGACGCCCCACGGGCCCACCATGGACAGGGGCTGTTTTGCAGAAGCAGCCTCCCCTGTTCTCCACATGCTGCTGTCTCTGATAAGTTGGCTCCCCCCAGCACTAGCTCTTGCCTGCCCACCCCTAAATGCCTCTGTAGGAAGCAGCAAAGGGGGGGGGGGAATTCCATGGAGCTGGCATGGGTGGAGAACGGATTTAAAAGCCATGTCTCTGCATGTATCGACCCTCACCTGTCTGCCTCACCCTCTGCACTGCTGCCTCTGTATCAGAGGCAGCAGCACAGGGATGAGGGGGCTAGTGGATCCAGTGCTTGTGGGGAGCCGACTTTTTCAGCTCTGTATCCCCTCCTTGCTGCCTCTAATAGAGAGGCAGCAAGGGGTGGGGGGAATGCGTGTAGTCAAAAGGATTAACTAATAAGCCCAGGTTTATCTGTTAACTGTATGGTCGTCTACACAATGACATCCCTAATTGACAGGAGGAAGTTTATGATGTTGGATTAATTGTATATATGAAAATACAATCAAATAAAATAACATTAATTGCAGAGTATGCACAGAAACACAATATAACCAGAAACAAAGGAAAAAGATGAAGAACCACAGGACCCTAAAACAAAGACTGTTTCCAAAATATTATGTGAAAAAAATTCCCTCTTCCTAAGTATATTTGCTACTTATGTCAAAAGGCTATGCTATGAAGTGAACTATCAGTAACTCTGCATACCACACATCATATGGGATGTGGTTCATGTTGTTAGGCTTAAAGGTATTCTAAAAGATTACAAAAAAAAGTCACATTTGTGCCATTCTTTGCATGTTTATGATGCATGAAGAAGTATTGAATTTCATATCTGGTCTTCCTATTTTTCTGGAGCATAGCTTAGATGAGTCAAAAGAGGTGATTGGAAGCTATTTCAGATCTACACTTCAGGAGGCTTCATTCAAAAAAATTCTCTGAAGATTTTTAGTGAAGTAACTATAAAAGCCATCTCCACTGCTCTCCCTCCAAGAAATAAAACAAAGAAAGTAAAAATCACTTCTCTCAATAACTCAGATATCACTTTTTTTATTAACAGTGATATTATAATACTTGGGTGCTAATATTTGGGTGCTAAATCTTCAGGTTATTGTGTTTATCTTGCAGCATAAACAATCCCTGAATTTCCAATGTAAAAAATAAGGTGGAAAATAGCGTTTTGTTTTGTTTTTTAAAGCACACACACAAAGAAACCCATCAACTTTGCAGGCCTTCCCTTGTAATTCTGAAAAACACAATAGAGGACATAAGCTCACCTCCCTACCCACACTTTGCCATCTTTTCATAAATAATCACACCACCTAACTAATCTAATCTTGGTTCTCTCATGTGAACAGATCTTCAACTTGAATGGTGATATTATAAAGCATACACATCTCTGGAGACTAAACCCAATGATTTTTATAGAGCAGTGGTCTCCAATCTTTTTACACCCAAGGTCACTTTTTGAATGTCAGGGCAAGCCAAGATCTACCCCATCCTTTCCCAAGTCCCTACCCCCTTCCTTGAGGCCCTGCCTCTCTGTTCCCCTCCTCTCCATCATTTGCTGTCCCCAGTCCTTACTCACTCTCACTGGGTTGAGACAGGAGGTGCTCTGGGGTGGGAATGAGGGATTTGGGTGTGGGGAAGGGGTGAGAGGGAATTTGGGTGCAACGGGAGGTAGAGAAGGGGATGCTATGCTCAGGGAGGGGACCCCAGGCTGGAAAGTGTTAGGGTCAGGTAGAGGGGTTGGGGTGCTGAGCCAGCCGCAGGCTTGTGGATGTGAGGGTGCAGGAGTGTGGGTTGGGATATATAAGGGAATCAGGGAAGAGGTTTGCAGTGTGTGGATGGTTCAGGAGTGTTGTGGCATAAGACTGGAGTTGCTGGGGGGTGCAGGAGATTGGGGATGTGAGAGGCTCAGGACAGAGGAGTTCCAGTGTATGATAGGCTCAGTTTTGAGGGTCTATGGTACAGGAATATTATGATGTTGCATCCAGATGGGGCTTGGTCCCAACTGTGGGCTTGTTGGCCAGGCTTCATTTTAAAATAAAATATTATGTCAAACACAAAATGTGTCAGTATTGTCTTTATTTATGAGAGGGGCGGGAAACAGGTTTTGAGTCGGGGTCACTGACCCACAGAAAAGTCAGTTGGGGCCACACAAGTGAGAAGCCAAAAAACAACAGCTCTAAAACCCCCCAAGCCTCGCTAATGTGCCCTCTACAGAGACACCTCACTCCCGTGGCACTCCAGCCCCAGTCCAGATTAACTCTTCTGGGGTTCCAGGATTAGTGGAATTTGTGGGCCCCTCTACAATCCGAGGTGGGGCCAAAAAGGAGAGATCCAGTGTGCGGGACAGGGCTACCAGTGAGTGGAACAGGAATGAGGGTGCAGAATCTGGGTGAAAAATAGGTTATAGGAGCAAGCTGGGGGTAGGTGTCTGACCAGGAGGGAGGGGGCAGGAGCAGGGTGCTGGTGGGTGTCTGGCCATAAGGCAAAGACAGGGTGATGGATAGTGTCTGGGCAGGGTGCTGGATGGGGTCTGGGCAGGGGGCAGGGTGTTGGTGGGGGGTGGGTCTGGCCAGGGGGCAGGAGCAGGGTGCTGTATGGTGTCTGGCCAGGGGGAAGGGTGCTGGTGGGGGCTGGGGCAGGATACTGGTGGGGGTCTGGCCAAGGGGAGGGGATGAGGACAGCTCAGCTGTGTGCCAGGTCCAGGGTCTCAGGAAGAAATGCGGGCTGCTTTTCCCCTCTCCAAAAAGCTGGGTATGTCGCCCCGCCGATGACTTTCTTCCCCCTGCTGCCTTCCTGTGTGGGGAGAGGGCTGGGGGACAGGGAGGAGTCGTCATCCCGGGACTGCGCCAGCTCCAACTTCTCAGGTAGCGCGGGCTGTCATGGGGAACGGAGGGAGAAGGCATGTGCTTCTTGAGAAGTTGGAGCTGGTGCAGTCCCGGGACTCTTACTCCCCCTGCTCCCTCCCCCCGCCAGCAGGAAGGCAGCAGGGGGAAGGAAGTCACTGGCGGGGCGACAGACCCAGCTTTTTGAGGGAGAGGAAAAGCAGATCTGGCACGCAGCTGCGGGACTTCCCCTCCACGCTGCAGGAAGCCGGCGCTAACCTCCATTTTTGCAGGAGGTAGCATCAGCGCAGGCTCCTTCTTGGAGGTTGAGGGGAATAAGGAGGGGCAGAACGCCTCGCAATCGATTGGTCGTACCCCCGCAATCAACCAGTTGAGTGTGCTCGATGGGTTGCTGGCCACGGTTGTAGAGTTTGAACGCCAGCTTATAAGTCTAAGTGGCAAACAAACAGATCCACTATGCTACTAAAGATAAACGTGTATTGTTTTTATAGTTCAATTGTCCCTTTTATAATGCAGAGATGCAGCCAAATTTTTTCCTCATTTTTCTCAGCTTATAGAAATATCAAGTTCTGACTTTCTCATTTCACAGGGGACTTCAGTATTTTAGCACCTGGTAAGTGACATCATAGCTCTCGCAGGTTGGGGTGGCGGGGGAGCAGTCAGATGAGCATACAGCTCCAGGAAGGTTGTTTTATGCATCCTAGAGTTCTGTTGCCTCTGGTCTTCATCCCACACTTGCATGACAGTGCAATCCCACCACTCAGTGCTGGTTTCCCTGGCCCAGAAATGACGATCTACTCAGTACAACTGCTCTGTGTGTGCCAAATGCCATGACAGATTGCTGTTGTCCATGTACACACACAGTTCCCTCTGAGTGTTCTTACTCTTTCAGTAATTTCAAGATGGTCTCTGCAGCTATGTGTGAGGTCCCAATGACAGAGTATGTGAGAAAAGTGCAGGATCCATTTTTTCTTGCTGCAGATGCTGGCAGAAAATGGCAGTTGGTAAAAGGATGCCAGAAGCCCCTGAACAAAGTGGTGCTTGACAGGCTATTTTGTATGGTTGTAGGATGTCCTGTGCTCTATACTGTGGCTTGTGTTCTGGACAGTGTTGCCAGAGGCTGTGGAATATGGACCCATACTGCATTTGCTCCCACTGTGAAAGGGAAGCTAAAAATATGGACAATCTGTCAACAACGGGAGCAAGTGAAAACATGCTTTAACAACATTTTTGTTTGGCAACCTCCACATGTTGACATTAATTTCTGCAACAAAACTGTTTTTCCTATATCAGAGGTTAGATTACAATTCAGAATCTATTTTACTTATCTATTTTTAAAAAAATGCAGGACAATAATTAGTAAAACTGTATGACATGTGAAAGCCTGAGCAATTTGTAGTGGCATTCTACTTTACAGAACACCAAACACTAAAAGTGATACAATTTACATGAAAATCCAGGATTATAACTGGAAAGCAGGGTCTTGGTTATCATGTATTTGTTACTTACCTGTCATGTTTAAGAAATGCTGAACAGTTATTTTTTCTGTATAGTTAAAATAAATTATGAAAATAAGTGAAACTGGTGTGATTATACTGTGTTATTTTGACAAACTATGCATAATTTTGTATTTCTGGTGCAGAATTCCCCCAGGAATAATGATATAATATCTTATGAGATAAATGATATAAAACAGTATGTGGTCCCAACTGCAAATGGATGTGAGGACTATATCTACATCATCTGCTCTCTCCAGAGACTCTTCTGGAGATAAGGAGCATTATAGCAAGAGTTTATAGAAACAATGCTGGTACTGTGTTTTCAGATATTCCCTTTTCAAATAACAAAGCAGACCACAGAAGCTTATGAAATAGTAGGTACATGGTACTGGAATAAGATGAGGATGAGTGCAATTATTCTTTTTCCTATTGACAGCAGCAAACTGTTATAGATTATTTTCCTCAAGCATAATCAGATAATTGCGCAATAGAAGACTGATTCAAACAAGTATTTTAATAATTTGTTTTCATAAGTGATGAAAGAAAAAGTCAAAATACATCTGTTTTGTACTTACAGGTGTTTCTCATGCATGTCATGGTTGAAGAGCACAATTCAATGATTCGAATTGCTGGCAGTCCTAATTCCTCTGGTGGCACTGTCAAAATTGAAATCTAACAGAGATAAACATAACATTCTGAATATCAGATTAGTCAAAGAAGCAATTTGATCTTTATTTTCATTATTCTACGTTATTAAAGGGGCAACTTGAAACACGGTTAACAGACTATTGAGTACTTATATAAAAATGCCTACTGCCATAACATATGAAAGTGGGAACAAATCTTTAAGCGCCCAAAAAAGGGGAAAAGCCCAATAAATACTTATACTGTCATCGTATGTAACTATTTTAATAGCTACACAGCATATAATATTGAGCATGTATTACAGATTTAACATTAAATATACACTTGTGAAATCTTATTCAAAGTTGATGTTATTGACTATCAAGTTTCAAAATATCCATATTTTCTAAAATAAGATAGTTTGGCTTGATTTCCACAAATGTTTTAAAAAGTTCATATTTGAGTATTTATATGGTCTCAAAGAGCTGCTACAGACTTGTGGGTAAATAAGTATGCAGTCTATCAACACCACAAATATGTATTTATCCAATAGACTTAGAAAGCTCCAGAGAAGCAGTTATTGTCAACTCCCATAAACACAGCATATGAAAGACTGATTTCCTTTTATTAACTTCTTTAAAAATTTATAAACAAAAATCTGTTAAAGTACGGTAACATGAAGGATCAGACGTCCCACAAAATCAAGGCAAATCCCAGTTAAGGTAAAAAATAATTGATGACACATAATATTACTTTCATGTAGTTTTATTTTCTTGTGTACTCCTAAGACTCCTTTGGAGGAAGAAATCTATGAGCTCAATCCTAACCTTATTCACATGTATAGTGCCACTGAAGAGAGACTATTTTTGCTAGAAAAGTCTGTGGAACAAGATGTATATTAATACAAAAACCTACACTTTTTCCACACAGAATTTAAGAAACCTAAGTATTTTCTTGCCACTACCAATATTAACAACAGAATCCTTTTACTGTGCCACTGGTTCATGAGGATGTAAATAAGTGTAATAGACAAGTGTCTAGTGGAATCTTGATTCTATGTGGGCAGCTGTTGGTTGCAAGAGGAGTTGGAAGAACCGGGAGTCTATGAAGTAACATGCATACAAAATAATGATGTAGAGAAAGACTATAGGAAATTCAATTCTCCCCCTCTCATAACAGAACATGTGAACATTTAACTTAATTTAAGGATAAAGAAATGCTTTAACCACACAAATCTCAGAGGGTTAGCTGTGTTAGTCTGTATCTGTAAAAACGAAGAGTTCTATAGGGATGTTAGATAGCATGTAATTGAATAGTCATGTAACTGCATCAAATTTTAGCAGTTACATGACTATTCAATAGTCCCTGGAGGCGGGGCCGGCAGCCAGTGTGCTCCCCTGCCACCCTGTGTTCTCTCAAACAGAGGCAGCAGCAGGGGATGGCAGGCGGGAGCCACTCCGTGAGTGGAGCCAGTTTAAAAACCAGCTTCCAACGCAGACTGGCTCCCACCTGCTGCCTGTGCTGCTGCCTCTGGTACCACAGGCAACAGGATGGAGCATCCCTGTCTGCGGGGGGGGCCCCGAGCTCCCCGAAGACAGAAGTTGCTTGGTGGCAGCAGCCCCTGTCTGTGGGAGCTCAGACCCCCACAGATAGGGGCTGCTGCCATGGCACAGCTTCTGTTTGTGGTAAGTCTGAGCCCACCACAGACAGAGGTTGCTTCATGGCAGCCTCTCCTGCCCTCCCACATCCGTGCTGCTGCTTCTGATAGAGGCAGCAGCATGGGGGCAGGGGAGAAGGCAGGTGGTACCATGGAGCCGGTGCTGGAGAGAGCCGGGTTTTAAGCTGGATCCTCCCAACTCTCCGCTGCTGCCTCTGTAGGACGCAGCAGAGCCTGGGGGGAGCAGGCGGGTTCGTGGAGCCAGTTCTTGTGGGAAGCTGACTTAAAGCTAGCTCCTCAGAGTCACCATCTCCCACACCGTCTTACTGCCTCTGATAGAGAGGCAGCTGGGGTTCTGTGTGTGAAATGTGTGTAATCAACAGGATCAACCTATAAGTCTTCGCTTATCGGTTAGTTGGGTATTCGACTATACTATGACATCCCTAGAACCCTATGGCACCTTAAAGACTAAGGGTATGTCTACACTTGCCCCCTAGTACAGACATTGCACAAGGAGTAACAGTTAATTCGAGGGAAGGGTTTTGGCTCAGACTACCTCGTCTACATTCGGCAATTTAATTTGGGCGACTGGCATTTTAAAATGGCGACTGGCCGCGAATATGCTAATCAAGCACGGGATATTTAAATCCCATGCTTCATTAGCAACTTTGGTATGCTTCATTTGCCTCCCTAGTCCTAACTACGGGGCAAGTGTAGACATACCCTAACAGATTTATTTGGGCATAAGTTTCCATGGGTAAAACACACTTCGTCTAATAGACTCCTCTTTGTTGTAACCACGCAATAGATAGACTAACTGTAAATTCCACAAAGAATATGGCAAGATCTAAAGGTCTGTATATTTATATGGATAATAAAAATATCTGAGTTATAATGGTCAACATTTAAAAGTTTTGGAGGGGATGTAAAGAAACGTTCATGGCTAATCATTATTATGGATTGGAATGAGACTTCCCTGCAAGTTGTACTTTGGGTTGAGAACTTTACAGCACCTGATTTGAACTCAATAGATTATGCTATTTAAAGTGTATGTTCCCCCTTCAACAATTAAACTCCTACAGCTGATTCAGCCTCACTGAGCTCAGACTTGGAAGCTATTCACTCGCAGCATGGCTGTTCAGGTTCAGCCCGGTGCCTGAACTCTGGGAGGGTCACAGAGGCTGGATTGCTGAACAAGCCCAACCATCTGCACTGCCATCAAAAAGCCCTGCAGCCCGAGCCCTATGAGCCCAAGGCTAACAAAGGCTAGCTGTAGTTGTCCTACTGCAGTGCAGATACATATCCTCAGTGAATGGATAACAAAAGGATAACAACTGTACCGTGGACTATGCTAGTTTCCTCAAATAAACACATATAAATGCCCCTCCTGGCCTAGAGGAATATCACCTAGGGAAAATTTTGAAATTTAGTTTCAATTCTGATTCAATCCATGGTATTTTTGCGACTACCAACAGACACAAAAATATCCCAATCCTATTGCTAGCTAGCAGTTTTCCATTTTCACTGATTTTATGTTTAATTTGCAATTTTAAGGAGAAAAAATGGGATTAAGACAATATCAATAGAACTAACTAATCGGAAAGTTACATTCAAATAGAAGCAAACATACAAATTAATTGTTCACAGAAGTTTAATGTGTTCATATACAACTCCTTAAAGAGATTACTAATACAGAATTAATATATATACCTGCTGGTCTGAATCTGTCTTTAGTATGGATTGATCTGTAATGAGCACTGCTCTGGAGATCTGCCTACAATTAAATAAAGCAATTATGGTACTTCACAAAACAGCTATTTGAATTCAGGCCTTTTAAAAATACACATCACTAATTACATATTTCTTATTATGAAATAGCCAACTTCAATAACCTCAGTTAATGCATTATAACAATTGACCAAAATAAAAGCACAAATATGAGTAAAAGGCTATAAGACCAGGGCTTGAGCTTCTATTACATGGATAAAAACATTTATTTGAAAATCAGAATGTTATTACAGAACCCTTTATTTCAGTGACTCTACAATATTCTGGTTATACACTAACTAGCATTTTGAAGCAAATTTTACATTTTTATGAATAAGTACATATATTACTGACACATTTCATATGCATTCAGTGGGAAAAATGAAATGATCTTGAGTAACAAAGTTTTAGAAACATGCAACCATCATATAAATTACCACAAAGAATTACATGGCTTCGATGAATCATATTTAATGCCATAAAACTCCATATTTGAGACATTTAAATTTATAGCTCTTTCTGCAGCATCTGCCACAAGCTTCCTGGCTCTTGTGCTGCTTGTCACACTGGTCAGCAACAAAAGTATATCAAGCAAAAATGGTACAAGAATAATGTTACTTTTAAATAGAGCACTGGCAGCCCCCAGCAGCAATCTTCCAACAGACTATTTGAGAGGGAGAGAGAGAGAGAAGGGAGGGAAATAATGCAACAAAATCACTATCACTAAGGCTGTGGCTAGTATTGGTACAGTTCTCCCAGTGGCTGCCAGCATTATATGAAGATGAGAGCTAAACCAGAGAAAAATCTCAAAAGGAGGAATGACTGCAACTACATTGTAATTAGGGAAAAAAACACTACCTAAAAAAGGAAGAAACAACAAACAGTCATTTTTAAGTTTGTAGAGAAAACTATTGGTGCGTGGCTTGAAAGAGTGACTCCACATGGGCATTATTGCCTCAAGCTATATTGCTAATCATTTTTCTGTCTTTTCACTATAAATCCATGTGTACCTGTACAGAAATACAGAGATATACACAGATATACGTGCACAGTTGCAAAGTCAACGTCACAAAAGTTAGGAAATGCTAAAAGTTAACTTTATCCATGGAACACTGGAGTTATATGCAGGTATGGAGGCCTATTTGCATTGAGTTCATTACAGAATTATTATATTCATATTATCGTAAACATATTGTAATATATAACTCCAATGCCTACAACTTAGTTTACATTTTCTGATTAAGTCTGCTAACATACACACGTGCACGCTGAGGTAGTCACATGAACGCATGCTTCTTCTACAAGAGCTCTGCATCATGCATTGCACAGGCTAGAGTGTGCTTAGTGAATAAGACATTCAATATTTGTTTTTATATTCAAAGTATGCCTCTATCCTTTATTTACTGTACATCTCCCAAATCCAACATGAAACAAAGGATAATTACTTTTTCTTATCTCCTTTACTATAATATTAATTACTATAATATGTGAGTCTAACACATTACTAAATTTATCTTCATACCACCTCTATGAGATTGGGATGGGTTTCACAAATGAAAAACTGAAGCTTAGGGAAATTAAAGCCAGAATTTGAACCCCTCCCCCCCCACACACACACCTTCCCAGCCACTTGCAGTATGCTGAAGACAAGGTATCCAATTTGAGAAATGTTGGGCCTGATTTTCCAGAGTTCATGGCAGGGCCGATTGAAAACCTTCAAATAAATATCTCCCCACTCAGAAAATGGTGTTTTGTCTGCACTGTAATTTTACCTAGGGAAATGTAGATTTTTGGAAGAATTTTCCATTGGGAAAATTAAAACAAAAGTGAAGTACCGTGGCAGCTTGGCCACAAGGAGAGACCACAGCATGCAACGGGACAGGAACAAGGTCCAAAGGAGAAATACGAGCATAAAAGACTATAATTCCAATGAAGCATCGTGACAGTTCTGTCAGATGCAATGATTAATATTAACTTAAAACATGTCTGAGATGAAAATAAATCTCAAAGTACTGATATTTCCTGTAGAGAAGCCTTTTTTTTAAAAAAAAAATCAAGTCTTGTACTTAGCATTTTTCAGGGGTCCCTGGCATGCATCTCTCCCGGTATGTCTACACTAGCTCGTTAATTCGAGCTAGGTAGACAAATGAGGCGACCGGAGTTGCAAATGAAACCCGGGATTTAAATATTCTGAGCTTTATTTGCATATCCCCGTCTGGTCGCCATTTTGAAATTTCACTAGCCTGAACTCACTGCCGCGCAGCTACACACGGCAGTGAAACGTTAATTTGAACTAAGTCCTTAGTTTGAATTAACTGTTACTCCTCATTCCACGAGGAGTAACATTCCTCGTGTCATTCCATGAAGAGTAACAGTTAATTCAAACTAAGGACTTAGTTCAAATTAACGTTTCACTGCCGTGTGTAGCTGCGCGGCAGTGAGTTCAGGCTAGTGAAATTTCAAAATGGCGACCAGACGGGGATATGCAAATAAAGCTCAGAATATTTAAATCCCGGGTTTCATTTGCAACTCCGGTCGCCTCATTTGTCTACCTAGCTCGAATTAACGAGCTAGTGTAGACATACCTCCCTTATTTGTCATTTCAAGTATCTGTCACTGATCAATAGCATGTTCTCATTCACATGGGTCCTGATCTGCATACCCTGTGCATCACTTTCCTGTGAGTGATTAGCACCTAATGGCAGCCAGCATTCCCCACCCCCCAGCACCTCCTGTCCACCATGGCAAGCTATTCAGTGATATGCAAGTCGCACTGTGAGGGAGGGAAAGAAATGGGGACAGGGTGCCCTTGGAGGAGGGGGTAAAATAGATAGGAACAGGCAGGAGAGGTGAAGGGGACAGAAAGAGGCAGGGCAGGACATAATTTCTTATGGAGAAAAATTCCCTGGTATCCATTCTTTTGGTATTTGTTGTTCTTTTCAAGAATGCAGACCCAATATACACAAGAAGCTATAACTTTCATCATCAGCACAGAAAAAAAGTGATGATTTTCAACCCTTATCCAAATCTGAATAGAAGCCGCTCTTAACCAAGTAATATCCCCCTGTCAAATACTAATTTCCTACTGTATGAACAGAAATCTTAGATTTTAATACAAATCTTTCAGAAAAAAATTACAATGAAAATACTAAGGGAGCTAAGTATAGGGTGCATAGTGCCCTCTTTACTATGCACACGCAAGAAAAAAAGCCACACAGAGGATTAGGCTATGTTACCATGAAGCTGCTCTCTACACCAATCTGTAACATTTCATTTGCAACATATTTTATATATTGTACTTTTTAAAAATAACACTACTTAATCTTTTTGCACATTATTTACCTGTAGCACATATTTGTGCATGTTTTCTCTGAAAAGTAGCTATCTTCTACCACAAAATACTTAGCACTTATTCTTTGCCCAAAGTGATCTATCATTGCTTTACATCTGTAAAAGAAGATACAATATGAAGAGATTAATTTCACAATATAACTTATATAAGTAATTTGTTCTGTTCATGTAGTTGAACATTATTTGAGGGATTCAATTGAGTTTCCAACACAGTAATAAATGCCATGAATTTTACCTGCAAACAGCTAGAAATTACTCAACACAAATCTGATTACTTATAAAATGACCTTATAAAAGAAACACATAATATAGTGCATGCAACTCTTCGTTCTAAATTATACCATAAATACTATTAGAACACAAACAAAAATAATGTATCGCATCACTAATTCTGGCTCTTTACAGCAATTGCTGAGGGTTTATATTGCTTGCCTATATAGAACCTCCAGTTCCTACTCTTACCATGAGTGCAATGCCATATCACCATGGTATGTTTTCCATTGGTACCATTTATCAAAGTAAGGCTGAGGGATGTAAAATCCTGTTTAAAATGTTAACCAGTTAAACCAGCCCGCCGTGTCTCAACATGGGCAGAGGGCTGATGGAGCAGCTCCCTGCCTAAGGTATGGTCTGCCGTGTCATGCCGTGGGTGGATGGCTGCTTCGGCCCCACCAGATGCCGGAAAGGTAGCGCTTACCGGCTAACCGGTTCCCTTTTACATCCCTAGCAAGGACAATTTTACTGTAGGAATAAAACTTTAATGACAAGTTAGAAAGAAAGTTAGTTTGACTAATGTAAAGGAGTAGCCTTGAGAAAAGGGTACTGGGGTAGTGGGAAGGGACAAACTGAGTGATCCAAGTGATCTTTTCTGGTCCTATTGTCTGTGATTCCACAAAGCACTTATGATTTAATCCTTTAGCTGGCAAAACACAATATATCATATTGTTCTAAGAGCAGCACAATGATCATGGTAGATAACAGTCTTGAAGACAAATTTGCTTCAGGCACATATTTGAAAATCTAATATTAAGAATTTCTCTAAGGTCTTCTGTACACTAGTAGCAGCATGCAGGATACATAGAGATTTATCAGCTGGGTCCACACTGTGATGTGTACATACAGCAGTGACAAGTTCTTGTGGGGGAAAGCAGCAGGATAATACAGGCAGTCCCCGGGTTACGTACAAGATAGGGACTGTAGGTTTGTTCTTAAGTTGAATTTGTATGTAAGTCGGAACTGGTACATGTTTTTTTTGGGGGGGGAAGCTGGAGTTAGGTGGAAAAGACCCTGATTCTCATACAACTTCCTTATTCTAAGAAAAACACATACTGTTTTGATATGAAGGTTTTTTTGGTTGATATTTTAATTAAAAATTGATCATAAGTTTCAGTGTTTCATTCTATATCCAAATCTTCCTTTTGGGGTACCTGAAAGATCCCAGTTATTCATTTAATAGTCAGAATCTTTGTTTTTTATAACTAAAAAAATTTATTCAATGCATATTACTGTTCCAAATAGAATTTGCTACAGATGGTTCAGTGAAATGGGTATTAAGTGTAATCAATAGTCATTGGAGAGCACAGTGAAATATTGATACAATCAAAGCTGTTGTTGTATTCTGCTGAGCAGAAAATGGAAATCCCTTCCTGTGAAGTGTGTGTGTGAATTTATCCACAGGATTAATTTTAAAGAAAAATTCTGTGTTGGGAACAGGAGTGGGTCCCACAGGTGGGACCTCATTGTCCACGCACCCACTTTGCAACCAGACCCATCCCCTCAGGGCTTACCCTGCTCCGCTCCTGCCAGGGTGTGGGGTTGGGGCTTATCCCCTCTTCCCTTCTCTCCTGCTCCTCCCCATTCTTGCCCACCCACACAACTGGGTAATTTTTCAGCTTCACCTCTGCCAGGCTGGAAGGGACTTGTTAATTTCACGTGACGCTAACAAGATACTTGCAGCTCTAGTGCTGTTGCTTCCAAGGTGGGGACTGTAACACAATGGGTCTCACTGCCTGCTGCTCCTGCTGTTCCCTAGGAAATTAATTTTTCCGCTCTGGAGTGCCCCCTTTTGGCTGGTGTCTTCTTCCCCCCAGCAGACCCGCGTCCTCCGCAGCGAGAAAAGCTGCTCTGCGTCTCCCTGGTCTGCTGCAGGAGGGGGTGCCCCCCGTGCCACCGGAGGCGGCGACAGTGGGGGAAGCTCCCCGCACTAGGTGCACCCCCCCCGTTTGTAACTAGGGATCCAACGTAAGTCGGATTGATGTAACCCGGGGACTGCCTGTACACTGCTAAAAACAGCAATATGGATGGGGGAGGTACCGCTTGGGCACATACGATGCCTGTACTCATCTGAGCACTGCCTTGCAGTTTACACTGCTTTTTATTGCTATGTCACCAGGGTTTGCAGTGTATGTACTCTACAGTGCACTGTACTACATATGGATATAGAAAGAATTAAGCAGCCCAGCATTTAGACTATCATATTGTCTCTTATCTCTACATTCAGAGCACAGCATAATAAGCTTTGATGTTAGGTGTTGCATGTACATACTACTATAACATAAAAATAATGAAAAATTTAATTTACAAAAAAGACCTAGAGCACATCGGTAGATGAAACAGATTTAGCCTCTATGACATAAGCTCTACCTATCTTTTTGTGAAATCCTTCCACACTAGTTATTTTCTAGGAAACTTCATTGATATTAGTCTCCAAATCACTCATTTACTAAGTAAAAAAACAGATGCTATCAAAAAAAATTGTGATACTACTGTCTGGCACTATCTGAGGGTATAGCAATTTTTCATATCTGATGTCAAAGTATAATGCAACAAAATCATGTTTCTGTACTTATCAGGGCCAAAAACTGAGTGCAAAATCCAAAATATGTAACAAGAATAGTGGCGCAGGAAGCTAAAATAGTGGGGAATATGTGCTGAAGTTTAGCTATTTTATTGAAATATTACACAAGTGGAGTAAAAGGATCTCAAAGTATTGGAAATTACAGGTTGAACTTCTCTAGTCCGGCACCTTTGGGACCTGACCGGTATTTGTAACAATATTTTGTTCTTTAATTGCTGAGTGTAACTATTTTTTAAGTTTGGATTTTTTTTTTTATAAGCAACGTCCATTGACATACATGTTCGGTAGCTTTCCTTGTGCTCTTTACCAAGCATAGCAAGGGTAATGCAGGAGAACAGTTCTTCAGTTATTTTAGTGCTGCATGGGCAATAATTAGAATTGCCACTACTGACATGGTTTGAAGCCACATTATGTTTCATTGTTTGTATTTTCTCAAAGCTGAGAAGTCGAATACACTATCCAAGACTACAATTTCAAAGAATATTCTTCTTAATGATTGCTGTTATTAGCTCAGCTTTAAGCAGGATGTGCATTCAACAGTTTTTTCCTTCCTATCTTTCTACCCTCTCCCTTCAATATTACAAAGATCTTTAAGGTTTCATCCTGGATTCTCAAAAGGATTGTTAAGGTTTTCTATAATGTCAGATCACTTTTTGTATAGAAAATTCAAAAGTTTGATGAAATAGTATTGGTCTGATGTGCAAAACATCTCCTACTCAGCAGAGTGAAGCCTTTCTGAATTGGCTACCCAAATGACAGAAATCAGTTGCCTCAATGGAGCATATTTTGGAATGTGATCAACATAAGAAGTGATCACCTCTAATGTCATTAGCTCACAGACATTACCTCCCCTCCTCATCCCCCCTCTGTTCTGAAATTTGATTTGTCCTTTTTATATGTGTTCGCTTTTTTTGATTGTATCCCTTTGGTATATATGGTCATGCCAATTTTTTTCCACAATTTGATCTGAGGAAGTGGGTCTGGCCCACAAAAGCTCAACACCTAATAAACCATCTTGTTAGTCTTTAAAGGGCTACATAGTCCTGTTTTTTGTATCAACGTAAGAGAATCCCTAACAGGGTTCACTCTTGTACATGGTTAAATATTCTTTGATATTATGCCACTTTGTTTGTATTAGCGACGAGGAGTCCTGTGGCACCTTATAGACTAACTGAAGTGTAGGAGCATAAGCTTTCGTGGGCAAAGACCCACTTCGTCAGATGCAATTACTTATCTACCAACAAAATATCCGATTACAAATGAAGAATAAATACTTTTATTTAGTTATCAGTCACTTTCACACAGTAATCTAACCTGAACATCTCACAAAAGATGAAATCCTAAGGAGTTGGTAGTGTTGGTATTGTCTTCAATGGCACAAGGATTTAATCCCTATATTTTATGTAGCGCTTGAAATGAGTGACAGAAGAGAAATACAGGTAGAATAGACTCACGATTTAGTTGGAATGGTAGCAAAAACTAAGTGGCAGCAAGTGTACAAGAGACTAATAAAATCTATTAATGCTAATTTCATAATTATATGTCATTTCCATACTACCCATCTAACATTCTAACTCAATCTAAATTCAGCAACTTCCATGCACATTATAGCCATTTAATTTAAAAATAAATATTAAATATCTAAAACTAGCTTAATATTTTTCTTATCACATTTAAACATGAAATACCACACACATAAACTGTAAATCATGCAACTCAACATGTATTTCATTTGTTACTTTAATTTTTTTAAATGTGATCATTCTAAAGTGCTCATTTAAATACTGCTAATAAACAAGTAAGTTAAGCTGGCACTATTCATATCCGCTTATAATCTTTTTTATTGTTTATGAACAAGTATCCCACATTCCCCCAAACATTCTGGAGGGGAAAGGTTCATTAAATGTCATCACTCAAAGCCAGCAAAAGCAACTATATAGCCTTTTTATTTTCCTGCTAAGTGTTGTTCTCTCTTTTACTCAGGAATAGCTATCAAGTCATATGTCTGATAAAATTTTAAACAGAAAAGAGATATTAAAAGAAGAAAGAAGCACAATGAGTTTATACTTCACTTTAAAGAATAATCATGAGAAGATTTCTGTCAAGTGCTGCTACCCAATAAGAAAACATTTATGCACTGACATTATCAGGTCTCTGTCATCTGATATGCGTTGGGACAATGAATCATATAGAGCCCTCCATTGACCTTCTTTCAATGTGCCTAGATAAAAGGATGAAA